CGCGTCCTGACGTCAAACCCGCAAATGAAGTGCCGCAAATGCGGCGAAAAGGGCGCCAAGTACGGATTTAAAAAGACTGCACGCCAGAGTCACTTGTATCACCTTCGACGAAGGCACATCGCCGAAACGCGTTAGGTGCACTATTTTGGACTATTCTATGGGACTTTCCTATAATTATATTTATTTATAATCTTTTGTGATTTTTATTGAATTTTGGAGCAATAAAAAATTGTGTAACCCCCTGAACCTGCGTTCCTGGTGATACATCAAACCCAGCTAAAGTCCAACACTGATTGGTGTAAGGGTACAGATGGGGGATGCATAGCCTATAAAAAGCCATGTGCTCAGTGCTCAGTCCTTTTGAACAGGAGTTCAGCTGAGACCCGATCGGTGAGAATAAAGATCTTTATTTCTTGAAAAGACCTGTGTCCGGACTCTCTGTGCATGGCTTCTTCAGTGTTACCTGGTAACATATCTCGGGCAATTGGTCAGGAAACCAGTGCAGAGACTCTGCAACGGTAAATATTTTTACCCACCTCTCCACGGCAACACCCTTGGACCGATGCGTAGACCTCCTTTCGTCTCTGTGCCACTGGCCTTTTGTCCAGGAGACCATTGGCTTCTGCGCAATGGGTATCGGGGTGTCCCGTCTATGAATTTCGAACCCCAGCTCCAGGAACTTCAAGTAACCCATTAGGGGAAAAATCTGTATCTGACTGACCTTTCCCAAATTGGAAAGAAGAGGCGTCTAATCCCCGCCTTAAAGGACCACTATAGTGCCAGGAAAACATACTAGTGGGGGCATCCTCAGGGTCACACTCCCGCCGGGCTGGATGGCAAGGAAAGGGGTTAAACTTACCTTTTTTCCAGCGCCGGGCGGGGAGCTCTCCTCCTCCTCTCCGCCTCCGATCCTCCTCTTCGGCTGAATGCGCATGCGCGGCAGAAGCTGCGCACGCATTCAGCCAGTCTCATAGGAAAGCATTCATAATGCTTTCCTATGGACGCTGGCGTCTTCTCACTGTGATTTTCATAGTGAGAAGCACGCAAACACCTCTAGCGGCTGTCAATGAGACAGCCACTAGAGGCTTTAGAGGCTGGATTAACCCATTTATAAACATAGCAGTTTCTCTGAAACTGCTATGTTTATAAAAAAAAAGGGTTAATCCTAGAGGGACCTGGCACCCAGACCACTTCATTAAGCTGAAGTGGTCTGGGTGCCTAGAGTGGTCCTTTAAGCTAAATGCTCTGTAGTTAACCCGTTTAGCATAGGGTCTGTTTGTCCGTCTGAATTCTGATGTATATATGGTCAGTCGGATTCCGGTTTCTGGACTAGCTGAACTCGGTTGTAAATTCCGTTCACTAGATCGTGGATTCTGGAGCGAGTAGACTAGCCGAATTCTGTTGTAAATTCCGTTCGTTAGATCTCGAAGTATGTTCTGATTCTTGTTTCTGGACTGGTTGAATTCTGTTGTAAATTCCGTTCACTAGATCGCAGATTCTGAAGTGAGTAGACTAGATGAATTCTGCTGTAAATTTAGTTCACTAGATCTCGAAGTGTGGAGCTATTTGGTTAACTGAACTCCAGTATAAGCTGTTCAGTTTAGAATACTATTTAGTTAAACTCTGATGTATATATATTGTTTAGCTAGATTCTGGTGTAAATATTGTATAGCTAAGCTCTGGTCTGTAATATGTATGTCTTGCAAAAGTTTGTGCTATGCTGTTTAGCGGACTTGTAAAGTGTAGATAGTGTTTAATTACGCACAACACCATAACTACTCACACCATAACCACTGATACCACAAATACTGACACCACAACTACTGACATTATAATAACTATACCATAACTACCGACTGACATAACAATGCCATAACCACTTACCTACCATAACCAATTGTAATACCATAACCACTTACAATACCATAATCACTGACATACCATAATCACTGACAATACCATAGCCTCGTATCTACCATAACCACTTACAATACCATAACAACTTACAATACCATAACCACTGATGGTTAACTTAAGCGTGATCATCGCACTATTATGAGATTTGTGGCTGATTCAGAGCACAGACAGGTTCGTGCAGATAAAGGCACATTGAGGAAGATTTCTGCCAGATTCATGCATCGGATCAAGAGAGCAGGTGCTAAAATACCATTGCATAGCAGTAAACAGATATTTGAAGCTGCTGGTGCCTATGGAGTCCCACGGACATCAAGGTGTAGAGTCCTCCAGAGTCTTGCAACTGTGCATAAACCTTCTATTCGGCCACCACTAACCAATGCTCACAAGCAGAAACGGCTGCATTGGGCAGAAAAATACATGAAGACTAATTTTCAAACAGACCTGTTCACTAATGAGTGCCGTGCAACCCTGGATGGTCCAGATGGATGGAGTAGTAAATAGTTGGTGGACGGCCACCCTGTTCCAACAAGGCTGCAACGTCAGCAAGGTGGTGGTGGAGTCATATTTTGGGCCGGAATCATGGGAAGAGAGCTGGTCGGCCCCTTTAGGGTCCCCGAGGGTGTAAATATGACCTCTGCAAAGTATGTGGAGTTTCTGACTGACCACTTTCTTCCCTGGTACAGAAGGAAGAATTATGCTTTCTGTAATAAAATCATCTTCATGCATGACAATGCACCATCTCATGCTGCAAAGAATACCTCTGCATCAATGGCTGCTATGTGTAACGAGAATATACCCCAACACGCAGGATTCGGCTAAACAGAAGACCACACAGAGGAGAGATACGTCTACCGGACCTTAGAATGGCCGGACTCGACGTATATGAGAGGAGGCAGAGTCAGGAACGATCCGAAGTCAAGGACACAGAGAGACAGCGTAAACTAGGACAAGCCGAGGTCTGGTACACAGTAAACAGCAAGCCGACAACCAGAACAGATAAGGATAAAGAGAAAACGTAGTCAGAAACAAAGCCAAAGTCAAAACGGAGAAACACAACTGAACACAACAAGCGCTAAAGGGAACTGATACAGAAACCACGATAGGGCAGGGAGTAAAGGGAGAGGTAAGTATATATAGCTTTTAAACTAATGTGATTGGCTCCTGTCATATCCACACCCCCAAAAGGTAAGTGTATGGGGAGTGTGGCATGACAGGGGCCAATGGGAGCCTTTTAACAATTTAGGCTCCCACTGTCTCTTTAAGAGCACGCCCGAGACTCGCGGCGCGCTCTTAGATTCAGGCGGGACACGTGACCGCTTCTCGCGGTCACTGCCCGCCTTCCTGTTGAGGCCGTCGGATGAGCCGCGCGCAGCTCGTGCAGCAGCAGGACCGCCGCCGGCCCCTGGATAAGGTGAGTAACGCTACACTATGGGGATAAAAGGAGAGAAAGGCTCCCACTGTCTCTTTAAGAGCGCGCCCGAGACTCGCGGCGCGCTCTTAGATTCAGGCGGGACACGTGACCGCTTCTCGCGGTCACTGCCCGCCTTCCTGTTGAGGCCGTCGGATGAGCCGCGCGCGGCTCGTGCAGCAGCAGGACCGCGCGTGGCTCGAAGAGAGGACCGCGGCCGGCCCCTGGATAAGGTGAGTAACGCTACACTATGGGGATAAAAGGAGAGAAAGGCTCCCACTGTCTCTTTAAGAGCGCACCCGAGACTCGCGGCGCGCTCTTAGATTCAGGCGGGACACTTGACCGCTTCTCGCGGTCACTGCCCGCCTACCTGTTGAGGCCGTCGGATGAGCCGCGCGCGGCTTGTGCTGCAGCAGGACCGCGCGCGGCTCGAGGAGAAGACCGCGGCCGGCCCCTGGATAAGGTGAGTAACGCTACACTATGGGGATAAAAGGAGAGAAAATCATGGTGTTGCCTCCATCCTCCCCTGACCTATTGAGAACCTTTGGAGCATCCTCAAGCAAAAGATCAATGTGGGTGGGAGGCAGTTTACATCTAAACAGCAGCTCTGGGAGGCTATTCTGACATCTTGCAAACAAATTCAAGCAGAAACTGTCCAAAAACTCACAAGTTCAATGGATGCAAGACTTGTGAAGTTGCTATCAAATAAGGGGTCTTATGTTAAAATTAACGTGACCTGTTAAAATGTTTAAAAAGTTAAAATGTTGTTATAAGTTTGATTGAAATAGCTTTTGATTTCAGTAAATATGCTGCAAACACAACAAATGACAATTTTCAGTTCTTTACAACCTATAAAATGTTTTGAAACCAGGGGCGGACTGAGAAACCTCAGGGCCCTCGGGCAAAATAAATCAAGGGCCCCCTTACAGGCCCCACCCATACTCTGCAGCAAGCGCCACCCTTGTCCCGCCTCCATGCACCGCCTCCAGCCACACCCTACACAATCTTTAGACACAAGGAACAAAAGGGCAATAAGGCCCCAGCAGAGACTACAATTGAGGGCTAATGGGCCATGGAGGGGGGTCTTTCTAGCGGAGGCTATCTCAGTGTCCTTTAGAGTGTGTGTTAGAAAGAATCCCCTCAAGGCCCCATTAGAGACTACAATGGAGTCTAATAGGCTTGGAAGGGGGTCTTTCTAACAGAGGCCATCTCAGCGTCCATTAGATATCCCCTGCTGGAAACAGTAGCCTCCAGGCCCCAGTAGAAACTACAATTGAGGGCTAATGGGCCATGGAGGGGATTTCTAGCAGAGGCTAGAGTCTAATGGGGCCTGGAGGGTGGTCTCTCCAGCTCTCTTCCTATTCACAATATAGCAACACAACATAGCTCGCTGATACCTAAGCCAAGTTGGCTCCTCTTACCTTAATTACTGTTGCTGGCTGGCAGTCTGTGGGCTTGCTGGCTGCGGCTGGCAGTCTGTGGGCTTGCTGGCTACTGCCGGCAGGCTGTGGGCTTGCTGGCTACTGCCGGCAGGCTGTGGGCTTGCTGACTGCGGCTGGCAGGCTATGGCTTGCTGGCTGTAAGCCTGTGGCTTGCTGTAGGCCTGTGGGCTGGCTACTGGCCTGTGGGCTGGCTACTGGCCTGTGGGCTGGCTACTGGCCTGTGGGCTGGCTAACTGGCTGGCTACTGGCCAGCCTGTGGGTTGGCTGGCTGGCTACTGGGGCACTTGTAGATTATTTAAAGAAATAATCCATGCACAATAACCACTACTGCTCCAGAGTAAGTAGTCAAATCGTTTAAGAACAGTTTGACAACTTACCTGGGGTCTGCTGGGATATGAGGCTGTAGTAGGGAATAGGAGCAGTGGTGCAATGTGTGTGAAAGGTTCAGTGTGTGTGTGGGGGTGTAGTGTGTGAATGTGTAGGGTGTGTGGGCAGTGTATGTGTATGGCAATGTTAGTATGGGGGGCTGTGTATGGGGGTCTGTGTGTATATGGGTGGGCAGTGTATGTGTGTGTGTGTGTGAGGCAATGTGTGTAAGTGTGTATGGTGTGTATGGGGGCAGTGTGTGAATGTGTATGGTGTGTGTGTGGGGGCAGTGTGTTTATGGGGCTAGAGTTCACTCTCACCACTGCGACCACCAGGAATCCATGGGGTTTACAGTGTTGAGAGTGAACTCTAGCCCGTAGCTCCAGGGCTAGAGTTGACTCTCGCAAGAGCAGTAACGTTGCCATGGTAACCGCGGCAACGCTCTGTTCTCGCGCAAGAAGGACCCAGAGGAGCTGCAGGGTGAGCTCCCAGGTCCTCTCTTCCTCCCCTGCCCGCACGGTGCCTGCGGACAGGGGAGGGGGGGCATTCTTCCCTCTCTTTCTCCCCCCTCCCCATCTCTCTATTCCCCCTCTTTCTCCCCGTGTCTCATTCTTCCCTCTCTGTCTCCTCATCTCT